AATCACAGCTTATAGGTAAAAATATAGCAGAATATACTACTAGTTATAAAGTATACCAAGCTGCAAAAATAAATATAGATACAAAACCTCTGGCTTCAGTATTAGGAAAAAGAGAACACAATAAAACACACAGAATAGTTGTATTACAAAAAAGAAAGAAACAAATTATATAAGAAATGCTGAATTGAACTTTAATGAAACTAATAGAGAACCCAGAAGAAGCAGATAATGATAATACTTTAATGCTCAACCAAAGTATTTTTACTTCTTGCGAGACTGTGAGAGCCGGGTATATAGTAAACGAATCTGTAGAAGATATACCTAAAATTCATATCACAATTCCTAATACCCTTTATGATCTTTTTGCCTGCTATAATAAATTTTTTTTATTACTAAAATCTCCACCTCTTCTATCTCCTCAAACAATTAATTTTTTCTTTTTACACTTACTTAAAATTGGTTTATGGGATAAACTCTATAAAAAACTTGTTATATCTATTAAATCTGACTATAGTAAAGCTTATATTTACTCACCAAAAGAGCTCTGCCCTTTATCTGACTATATTATTGTACTCTATCTTGAAACTGTTTATCTCAACCTCTTTATTCCTTTTAAATTATATACTCATAGCTCTTATAATAATACCAGTTCACCTTCTTCTCTCAATCTTTCAATATATAAACACAATATTCAAAGTTTTAACAAAAATCTTAAATAGCAAGTTTGGGAACATTACTGTCTTTCCAATAATCTTAACATCATTTGTCTAACTGAAACCAAACTAGCTAGCAACAGGCTTACTTTAAAACCTCTTAAAACATCACATTATACCTATTTTTAATTCTGTATAGATAGCTCAAAAGCTGGAACCTCTATTATAATCCGTAAATCCTTAACTCCTCATATTCACAATACCAAATCTATTCCTGGCTACACTATTTCAATTGATCTTTTCTTCAAACATGATTTCAAATTTCGAATTATCTCTATATACCTTTCTTGTGATAATAGCTCTACTAGACTCGAAGCTCAGAATACAATTATCTAATAGATACAAAAAGCCTATACTCTTAATATACTCCCTATAGTACTTGAAGACTTCAATGTCTTTACTAATAATATCTACTCTTCTTCTATCAAATATGAACTTCTTCAATTTCTCACATATAACAATATATACAATCTTGTCTTGCATACTGTCTCTTCTGATTTTACTTGGCATAATTATAGATCCAGTAGTAAAATTGACTTTATCTGGGCCTGTTATACTATTTTAACTTACCTTATTTCTTTTTATATTGATAATACAGATACAAACTCACTAAGTGATTACAAAATTCTCATTTTATGCTAGACTTTTCCTTATACTCTGTATGGCCAACGCAGACATAAAACACACACTTATAGAAGGGTCTTTAACTACAAGGCTATGAACAATACAAAATAGAAAAATTCTCAAACCAAGTTAACACCAATCTTAATTCTAATCCTCAACCAATACTTCAGAATCTCTTGAAACTACTTGGCACAAAATTCAAACTAGTATAATTATAGCTGCTTTAAAACACATTTCCAACAAAAAATTTATTGTTCGTAATTTCCAATACACATTCTCTTCTAAGGCTACTCACCTACACTCAAACCTTAAAAAACTTGGCAACATTATTCGACAAACTAAACATGCTTTAAAACACCAGTTATCTATTCCTTATCATCTTAATACCTCTATCTCTTCTCTCAATTATTCCTCTGAGTTACACATCCCTCTACTTCCAAATTCTTATCAACTTCTCACTTCTTGGATTACTGATACCAACTTAGAGTAAAAAAATCTTTTCCATGCTCATAATATGAAAAATATTAAAAAAATCAGACAACAAATTTCTGATGCTATCAACAAAGGATGTTCTAAACTTCAAACTCATCCCACTTCAATGATCAATAGTATTCTTAACTACTACAAAGATTTAGTTAAATTCAACAATATTTGTCTAGATAATGATATTATTATAAATTCTTCAACAATTAAATCTTATATTTAACAACATTTCGAAAACTGGACTGCTCCTCAACATATTAACTCTGATATCTTCAATTCTTACTAGCAAGCAGAATATAATCCTAAACCCAATATCAACCCTACATGGTATTCCAATACTCTTACCAACTTCACTGAGGATAAAATTATGCTAACTATTAATCAACTTCCTAACAACAAAGCTTGCAGCCCATCAGTATTAGCTATGAAATGTTAAAACATGCTAGCTCTAATTTCATCACTACTATAATATCTTTCTTCAATTACTGACTTTTTTCTCAAACTATACCCAAACAATAAAAAGAAGGATATATTTTTTCTATTTCTAAAAAACCTATTTTTGATAGCAACTTATCTAATACCAGATCTATTAGCCTAATAGAACATATTAAAAAGCTATATACTAAACTCCTTACCAACCACCTTAACCTTACCCTATCTCAACATAATATCCTATTACCATTTAACTTTGTTGCACTTCCTGGTAGCTCTACTTCTATACCTATTCATATTCTTAATAACATAATCGAAGATGCAAACTGTAATTCCAACTAACTTTGGCTTCTTTTCTAAGATATGAGCAAAGCTTATAACTTATTTTAAAAATCTCTATACCGAATTCAAATGCCTCAACAGCTTATTAATATCTTAACTAATCTCTTATTTAACCAAACAAACTGGGTTATCACTAACCTTGGTCTTACAAATTTCTATTTGGTTAAAATTGGTATTGATTAAGACGAAACTATTACTCCTTTATTTTGGAGAATCTATTATGACCCTCTTATTTTCAATATTTCTACACACTTTTTTGAATATACACTCTCTACTTCTTATCAAACTAGCCTTATCTACCCTTCTACAAATCATCTTAATATATCCATTTCAGTACTTGCTTATATAGATGACACATAGATTGCCCAATCCAAAACACAACTTGAAGAAATTACTAAAACTGCCTCCTTATTTTACTTCATAGCTGATATTTAGGTCATTTCTACCAAATCCATATTTATCTCTACAGAACCCTCTTCTAGTCTATTATTTCTCGATTCAGATTTGCAATCTATTCCATCTCATCAACTTTTTAAATTTCTGGGTTGCTGGTTTACTCTCAACAACAATCAATTTTTACAAATTAGACTAATTCAAAATGAAACTATTCAGCTAACCAATATTGCTAGCACCAAAAATATAACTGATAAACAAATTACTTATATTATTAATACTGTTATTAGAGTTTGGAACCAGTTTTATTTATAAAAACCGGTTGTAACTATATTTAAAAAAATCAACCCAGGTTGAACCCAAATTTGGTGCACAACTGGTTATCCGGTTTATAAAATAAAACTGAATTTAACTTAAAGTTCGGGCATTTAAATACAACCAAATATTTAATAACTGGTTTTATTACTATATATTCCCCAAAATAAGCTACTATTTTTGGGCAAAAAATTACACAAAAATTTCGGGAGTAGCTTATTTTCGGGTAATAGAGGGTTTTTACTATTTTTTACTATTTTTTATTAAGAAAAAGTAGTTTATATATATATATAAGTCAAAATAGTACTATGTAAATTAGTAAAAGTAGTTTAATAAGAGTTGTTCAGAATGAAAAACTATACATATTCTGAAAGTTTCACACAATTTAGATAACTTTTTATTAGTATACTTTTTTGTATTTTAAATTTGAATTTAAAATACAAAAATATATTAATAAAAAGCTATCCAAATTCTATGAAACTTTAAAATATATATATTTTTAAATTTTGAACAACTTTTATTAAGGTCAAAATATATATTTACTTAGTACAATTTTGACTTTTATATATAACAACTGTTAAAATTTTTTAAAAAATTCAGGGAAGCTTATTTTGGAGTAAAAAAAATTTTAATATTTTTTGGCAAAAATAAGGGGGTAGCTTATTATGGGGAATATAATCTGGTTAATATTAAACCAAGTATCACAAATATAAATACTAGTCTACGTATTATTATGAAGCAGATATTATCTATGTACAGTAATAGTATTCAGAACAATTAAGAATAAAATTACTATATTTAAAATTTACTTTAGTAGATTCTATATATAGAAAATAATTACAAATTAATAACACGATTTATATAATTTTGTGATTTCTATGATTAATTTTTTTATGATTAATGTGATTACGATTGTTAAAGCGAACCAATTTATTATAAATCTGAGTTTGTATCAAGCTCAGATTTATGATAAATTGATTGGCTTTAGCAATCGTAATTGCAATCACAATTATTAAGCATAAAAAAATTAAATAGAGAACTGCAATAATTTTATTAAATTCAATTTTATTTCATAAAAAATAATCTTTATGAATATATAATATGTAAGCTAATTACCATTATGTAAAAATTTACTCATTGTGGCTACACCACCAATCAACTGATTATAACTATAATAAATTTTATTAAGGTTCGTAATTTGAACCAAATTAAACTTTATTTATAAAATAAAAAAAAACTAGATTCTAAATTCTATAAAATTCTATTTATCTAGTGGAAAAATAGTATTAAAATGCTTACTATTTCTTTTTAAGAATAGCATTTTATTTACTAAATTTAGAAACAACTGAGTTCGTTTAGCAGAGATATGATTATCTGCATTTGAGAATAATTGCTTACTAGGAACGGAAGTTGCGGGGATTAACAGGTATTTTCTTGCAATTTGAGCAAGAGTTGAAAAATTTGTTTTATTAGTTGATCACCACTTTAATGGATCTTCTTTACTCCTATTTTTTTTTGCAAATAACAAAATACTTCATCTTCCTTTTCTGTTCCATTCATAAATTCATCATTATTATCTTCTAATGCTTTAAAAATATCATTATTATTATCATTATCTGATGATGATAAATTGTTATCTTTATCTTGTATAGCATTACTTGTAGGCTGATAGCCACTATTTATATCATTATATAACTCTTAAACTATCAATTTAGCTTTAGCTTTTCCCTTACTATTACATTATTCAAAGTCTTTAAAATGAGAATCCAAAAATGTCATAATAAGAGCAATATCAGAGAGAACTGACCATAATTTATCTAATGACAAGAAGATCACTGCATAAACTTTTTGTAGTATACTAGTAGTATTTACTAATAGTAAGTCTTCAACAATATTAATATTATCTAGGTTTATATTAGAAATTTGACTTTTGTCTTTTTTATAATGTTTTTGTATATTACGATGCTTATTCTTCATTTTTTATTTAAATTAACAGTATGCATGTTGCTACTGTTGTCTTGATCTACCTGATAGAACATGTTCATCATCACTATCAGAATTAGTATTATTTTTATTATTATTTGCTAATTCGGATCCATATATTAAATCAAGATAAGTATTAAATGTTTCTTCTACTTCTTCATATAGAGCAAAAAAATTCTTAAACAAATCCATATATAGATTAATGAGATTTATAGTTGGGTATGTTGCACCACATATTTTGAGTATTATACGTTTAATTAGTTCTAATAAACTAATCATTTGTTGAAGAAATTCTCTTTCTTCTAAACTTAAACATAAATGCTCCAACTTTTCACCTTCCTTTTTAGATACTCAATCATTTTTTGAAAGTAAATCTATATATACAAGTTTTATATAATTATGTAACTTAAGAATTCTCTTCTATGCATAATATGTTGAACTCCACCTTATTTTTATATCTGTTAAAACTTCAAGTGGGTTTGTGTGTTCATTTTCATGTAATTGGTAGTCTTGCTGAGAACTTTTTTGTTGCATTGTATGAAGTCTTTGTGCTTGCTTCGGTAAATGAAAAAAGCTTGCAAGCTTTTTATTTGGCGATAAAACGATTTATATTGCTTTAAGCCTTCCAATACTGAGAGCTGCAAAGTATGTGCAGCACAAGACTGGTGTTTAATTTTATTATACTTATCACTCAACAGATTGGTTGCTTTTAATATATTTATTCTGTTGTCAGTAGCTACTACAAAAACTTTGAAGACAAATCTCAATCTTCTATTATTTTTGATAATTTATCGCTAATAACCTCACTAGTATAAGGATAAAGAAGGTGATTATATATTAATAGGGCCTCTCTAAATTCAAATTCTGTAGTTAACCAGATGGCAGTTATACCCAGATAACTATGACAAGACTTTGCCGTCCAAAGGTTAGTTGTCAAATGCACTGTTGTAATATTATCACTTAATAAAGAATGAAGCTATTCTTTACTTCATTCATATGCTGAATAAAGTAGTTCTTTAACAGTTTTATTGCAAGGAATTCTATAACCTGGTTCACAGATTAACAGAAGATTCCAGAAAGCATCAACTTGAAGTATATATAAAGGTTGAACGTATTGAATAATAAACTTTACAAGTTTTTTAGTAATTTCTTCTTGCCATTTATATAAACAAGGTGTAGATATGTTTATATAATTTGTAATTTGAAGTTAATCACTATGAGGCTTTATATAAAAATTACAGCAAGTTAAATTTTAATAAATATAATAAAATAAATCTTTTAAATAAAATTTTTACCTGTTGATTTTTATCCAAAAACTGAAGATAATTTTTCTTAGCAATATAATGCTTATCTCGCAAATATACTATAAGATTTGTTGTGTTTCCACCCTTCTGACAATAACTATAAGCAACTTTATCTGTCTCTTCAAGATTAACCTCACAAATCTTACAATATACAGTATCGGGATTACTTTCTTTTACTCGAAAAAAGAGTATTGTATGACTAGAATTATTTTAAACTGTTACTTTTTTTTGGTAACCAATTTTTCATTTCTTTTGTCTAACATTATTTGTATTCATTGTATTTACAGTCTCTGATTCTGATAAAGAACTTTCCATCTTTTTTTTTTTTTTTTAAGTTTTTTTTTTTTTTTAGCGCTTCTTGCTTTTAGTCATGTGGTATAAAGTTTGCTTTAGTTAAAAAGTTGTTGGTAACAAATATTTAATATGTATAGTATTATTGATTTTGTATGCAAAGTAATTTTTTTTAATGAAAAAAGGAAAAAAGTCTAGCAATATTGTTAAATTTGTTTCCTGGTGACTTTTAATACCACATATAATATTTAATAAATTACAATAAATTGACAACTTGATATAGATATAAAAAAAAAGAGGTAAATTTTACTTTATGTAGCAAAGTTGCATAAGAATGAATATTTAAGTACTGATAATTGCTTATTAATCTTATATATAACCGGTTGTATTTATACCCCCAGTTCAAATTCATCCAGTTCAAATATATAACTAGTCTTATTCATATACCCAGGTCTAATATTCTTCAAATTTAGACCCATATTTATATATTTTTTAAAACCAGGTTGATATATCTGGTTCCAACCTCTAACTATCATTATTCCAACCATTGAGTATTGGCTTCACAATGTTGTAATTCCTCTACACAAATGCAACCTATAGCTAAACACAAAGCACATCTTTCTCAGTCTACTCCTAATAGCACACTTCTTAATCACAATCTTTATAATATTTACAATATTTGGAATATACAACTACAACACTATATTAGTAATTTTCTCAACCAGATTAACAACTCTTCTACTCTTGGCACTACAATACATATTTGACTTTAACATCTTCAAAACAACCTCTAGTCCACAACTAACATTCTTCAACACTCTCATCCTATTATCGACAGTTTTAATAAACATACCACTACTCTAAAAATTATACAACTTTTTAATTATTTACATATCTTTATACATGTATACTTGGATTCCTTCTAGCCCAAAACTATAAATAATAGTAACACTTCACTTGAAAACATTCTTTCTAATTACTTTAAATATAATATTTTTAAACAACTTAAACACAAAAATATCTTATACCTAGAGCAACTTTGTTCAGCAGACAAGATCTTGTTAAACTGGCTACACTTATCACCTAGAATTTCACATATTCCCAAAGACAAAAAACCACTCTGGTTTAATTACTTAGAAGATACTATTCTTGAAATAATTTATCTTGCACTATTCTACCTCTTTTTTAGCCAAATAGCTCTAACTCTTTTGTATATCAAACCAACCTTATTTCTAAAACTCACAAATCTTGGGTTTTATCTTATTACAATATGCATATTGTAATTGGTCAAGTTTGCAGAACTTTTTCGCAAACAACCACTATCTCTATAACACACTGGCAATATAATAGTAACACTTCTATCTTTAATCATTATCCACTACCTCCTATTTCTTGTACACCTTGTCAAGACTGTAACCTTAACTCTAATTATATTTCTAGCTGCTGTACTTTAGAAGTATCAGCTATTCTTTCTACCTAGTTCTTGGAAAGGAAAAAAGCTAACAAACAACCTAATCTTAATGCAAACTATATTGACCTTATATATTCTACTACATCAGCAAATTTAATAGGGTGTAATATTGCGTAATAATTTACGAAGCATAAGAAAACCGTAATATTACGTAAAAACTTTCGCAATATTGCGAAATATACAATTACGAAATATTACGTAAGATTAT